TTTTTTTTTTTTTTAAAAAAGATGACCGGTAAGGGGATCTTAACCCTTGACTTGGTGTTGTCAGCACCACGCTCAGCCAGTGAGCGAACCGGCCATCCCTATATGGGATCCGAACCCGGGCCTTGGTGTTATCAGCACCGCACTCTCCCAAGTGAGCCACGGGCCGGCCCCATATTATCTTTCAATTCTATTTTTCCACAAACTTTTTGAAGTACCCTCGTATTATCAAAAAGTCATTTCATGAAAAGTCAAGGGTGTTATAAAATATGATATTTTTTAAAAGTGGACACCAAGTCTGAAGAGGTGGAAGATAACTGGTTTATAAAAATAGTTTCTGACCAATATTTGGGTAGAAAACCTTCATAACAACAAGAGATTGGTATATAGTTACACTGACATGTCCACACTCCAGCCAGAATGGTATTTTCAAAGCAAAAACTAGCCATGTCACTCTGTTCTTAACAACATCCAATAGCTTCCCATTGCCATTAGGATAAAGTGCAAACTCCTTAGCTTGATTAGAAAGCCCTTCATGATCTGTTACCATTTACCTCATTTACCTCCCCAACCTTATCTCACCATTGCACTCTAATCTCACAGCCAAACAAATCACTTCTCGATAGAGGTCCTTCTTATTCAGAAGCATCTGTATAATTCCTGTGCCAGAAGCACTACATCCTAAAGATAGCAGAGGGGTAGATATCTCCCCACAAGGTCAGGTGCTATATGTTGTACCTCCATAGTACACAGTATTTCCCATACTGCACTGTTAACTTTTGTAAACAGGTACTATCTTGTTTACCAGTGTATGTTCAGTATCTTATATAGCACCTGGCACATTGTAGGTACTCAGTTACTGCTTATGGAAAAACTGAACTGTCTTACCATTGAACAAAGAAGAACTTCATGGATATATAACACTGGTGGGCCTCAAAGTACTAGCAAATGCTCACTGGTTGATAAGAAATAGGCTGGGCCAAGCAAGGGAAATTTAAAGAATTTAAACTTTCCATATTAATTTGAACACTACAGATTCTGCCTAAACAATCAATGAAATAGTACTCTAGTGAATGAATAAAGTGAAGGGTATGCGGAGTAGACAGAGCAGCCTGTACATCAGCACATTATCAATATACTCAATATCATGTATTTACTTCACAGTGGGGCAGTTTTAGTACTAATATAGAATACAAAAGGTCACGTGACAGAATTATAAATGCCCAAAGGTATGCCTAATGATTAAAATGTCTTGCTGTAAGTTTTTCTGAGAACACAGTCCAGTATCTGTGGACACTTGCTAATCAGATGGATGGATGATTGAACAAATGAATGAATAGATGAACAATAGACCAAGAGGATAGAATACATCAGAATAGGAGCTCTAAGACTACAGGCAAGTCACTCAACCTCTCTTTGCCTCAATTTCTTGTTTGTAAAATGAAATGGTATATCTGTAGTCTTTTAGTTCCTCAAACAAGCTGCTCTCTCAGGCTACCACATATACCCACCACACTACTATCTTTATTTGCTACCTAGCTAACACCTATTAATTCTTCAAGCCTACCTTAAAGATCTTTTTCTCAGGGAGGCTTTTCATGAATCTCTACACTCGCTAAATACCCTACTGTGTATGTTCCCAAAGATCCGTGTACTTCCCTTTTTATAAATGTTCAGCACGCATGTGAGCACTTAAATTCTATTTTCCCACAAAAGACTTCCCTTGTCTATAAGCTTGTCAAGGGTACAGACTGCATCTGGCTTGCTAACTACTTTATCTCCAACATCAAAGTACCTAGCACATGGTTAGTATTTAAGAATTAATTTGCAGAATGAATGAATTTGGTGCCTACAAATCTAAAATTTTAGGACGCAGAAGACAATCATCATTACCTCTAAGGTAATCATTGCCTCTAATTACCACACCTTCTAAAATTGTTTTTTTTCTATTGACCAATAGTGAATATATTTGACAACCAATCCTGGTATGAATATGAAGTTTCTGATGTATAAAAATTATTTTCAAAATAAGCTTTAATTATTCCTAATCTCTCCTGTTTTATTAATCAGAATTTAGTCAACTGTCAAATTGTTCATCAAAAGATAAGTAAATTATAGGGATCTTCTCTGACTTGAATGTCACACTAACAATTTGAAACTTCTTTTAAGTTTTCTGGTGAAGCATAACTTTAAGTTTTCAAAAACCTGAAAAGGCAATACAGATAAATTAAGAGAATTAAAAAATATATTATTTAAAATTGGTAGTTATTAATTTATAAAAAACAAAACTTGTCTTGAAGAAGAAAACTCGAAGACCACTTGTCTCTGGTCTTCCTAGGCTTACAAGAGAAATAAATGAGAAAAAACAATGTTTAAGAAAATTCATTATCCTTTGACCAGCAACAATGATTTCAAAAGTATAAAACTAATACAGTGGGCCGAGCCTGTGGCGCACTCGGGAGAGTGCGGCGCTGGGAGCACAGCAGCACTCGCACCGCGGGTTCCCGGTGCGCTCATAGTGCTCACTGGCTGAGCGCGGTGCGGCCGGTCTCAAAAAGGACAAAAAAAAAAAAAACTAATAGAGTAATTTTTTCAGTATACTTAGACTCATGATAGAGCGTTCTCTCTCACTAGTCACCACCTAGATGAATTTCTCACTAGTTACCACCTAGATAATTTCTTCATGAATAATAATTCTTCAGATTAATCTTACTGGAGTTATTTGAAGTGGAAATAAGAAATCTCTGTAAGGAATAAAAACTCTTACAAATTACAGATTCCAAAGAAGAGGTGGGAAACCTGTAATCCAAATATCAGATTCAGACTGTGGCTTAATTTCATCCAGCCTTTGGGTGCTGCTCCATATGCCTCTAGTACTATGGCTGACTAGACCCGAGATGTGTTAACAAAAACGAGTACATCCATATCCAAGAGCTCTCAAGTCAAGATAAAAGTTCCATTAGTTTACTGGAGAAGCAGTTTCCGAAAGGCAAAATTAGGCTCTAACTAATAAGATTAGCAGGGGTAAATAGAGGCAGAGATCCCTCTGGTTAGAAAAAAAACAGGCAAAAGGGTGAGATAAAAGGGTTAGTGCAAGGTTGTGAAGTGTTCTAGAAAAGAATCAAGAGTGAGGTGGGATTCTCTCTGCTTGGGGAATAAGCACTAGCACAGAAAAAGGGAGAACTGGCTGCTGAAGTTGAGTCACAGGACTACAATGAGCTCTCAACATTTCCTATTGAGTAAGTCTTTTTCTGCATGGACTCTAGACCCGCCCCTTTGATTTTAGAAAGTATCTGGTCTCCTGAGTATCATGTAACCTGCTATTGCCATCATCCCTGGACCTAGTAATTCTTGAGATGCCTCCGTTTTTGCCCGTGATAGATCCTTCTTAGTAATGTCTCCCTGAATCTCCCCTCTGTAGATTTTGAAGCCTCAGCACACAGTAAACTCATCATCAACAAATGTTATTCTTTACAACCTTTATAGCCTCAACACACAGTAAGCTTACAATCAATAAGTATTAATTATTCTGTCTAAATTAATTTTTACAAAAACAAACATTAGTCTCCTTAAAGTTCTTCCTTCTGGGAACACTTGGTCAAGTTTGAAGATGCCTACCTCCTTAAGCACATTCACTATCATCCTCCCTCTGAGTGGGACCACAACACACACTACTTCAAACCCTTCACAAGGAGTACTTCTGGGAGATCCCCCAAGTCCAGGTCTCCTCCTACTGAAGTAAACACTCTGGGTGGCTGTTAATCAACTTCTATTTACCTTCCCAACAATCTAGTCAGCACCTCACAATATATCAGAAACTAAATATTAGCAGATGAATATCCAAGGGCCTCAAGGAAAGTATGAGTTCAACATTACTCTATTAAGCCTGGTGGTGGAAGGAGAAAAAAAAGGGGTACTGAACAAAAATGTTAAGATCTCCCCTACCCCCAAATGAATGACAACAAACTTGGTCCTTTATTTCAGTTCATCAAATTCTCCCTCTTTGTCCTAAACTGGCTTAGAATGAATAAGAACAATGATACCGTATAGCAGCAGTCCTGAAAAAGAATTACTACTTGGGCAGGATAAAAAAAATATGGGTTATTAGGATCTCCAGTGGGTTCAAGTAACTCTGTTGTTGGTTACTTGAAAAAAAAAAAAAAGAAAGAAACAGAGTATTCATGTCACATGTTAGCCTTAATAGCAAATAGAATCATTATCCAATTTTCACAGACTGTTAGCACTAAACAGGACTTTAGAAATCTAGTTCAACTCCTTAGTTTTACAACTGAAGAAACTGAGGCACAGAAAGATTAAAACACTTGCCTACCTAAGATCATATCTGGTCATTGGTTTCCTAGCAATTGTTAAAAAGTCATCTCTTATTTATTCTAAGAGTTTATATTTTCAGAGAAATCTTGCAGGTAAGCAGGGTGAACTGTTATTTCCAAATAAGATAAGCAAACAGAAAAAAATGTCAACTTGACAAAGAAAACAGAAGAGGACTTACCTCTGGGTCTGCCAGGCGCTGAGACAGACCTACAACAAAGACGAGGTTTTTTTGTACAACACGTACACTAGCCAAATGTTTGCGATTTTCTGATATTTTCTGTTTTCTCTCATTCTGTTTCTGTTTTTTCTCATTCTTTATCCTCTGCAGTTCTTCCTGGGAGAGTGGTTTGTAAACTGCTGGGTCTTCTGGATATGGCTTCATGGATAAAACAAACATAGAAGTTAGCATTAAATAAATAGAAAAACTGCATTAATAACAATTATTTAATTCTGGATGGTGAATAGTGATTATTTGACATGGTCTCCCTTTTCCTGAATGTTTTAATTACTTAAAAATAGTTCTTATTTCATAAAAGTTAAATAAAACAGTTCTAAAAATACCTATTTGGGGAGCTTAGCACAGACCATTTTTAGCATTAAAACTTAACACCAAAGGTTCTAAAAAAACCACCACCACCCAATCTTGATAATCCCTACAGTGCATCGCACACAGTTTATAGGAAGATTACAAGAGAGTATAAGTTTTCTCATCTAAACATGGGTTTTACATATTATAATCAACAAATAGTTAATGAAAACCTACTATGTGCTAGAAGATTACTGAAGTTATACACTTGTTCTTTAATATATTCCCAGTCTAAGAGGAAGAAAGATGGGCAAATAAATAACAATAAATAGATACACTGGCTCTGGAGTTTGAATTTAGTTTTAACACTTACTAGCCATGTGGCCTTAGGCAAGTTAATTAACTCTATGCTACAGCATGCTAATATGTAAAATAAAAATAAACTTAAAGGTTGATGTAAAGATAAAATAACACTCATAAAGCAATTATTATTGTGCCTGGCACACAGTAGCCCCTCAAAAATACTAGTAAGTTCACTGCTGTGTATCTTTATCTTTTCTTCCTCAGCATTATGGTATCTTTTTCACTCCTACTGCTAGCGTCAGGGCTACCTGTGGCCTGAATAAAAGCTGCTGGAGTCAGAGTGCCTGGCTTTGAATCCTAGCTCACCCTTTACTATCTGAGAGACCTTGAGCTAAGATATGTAACCTTTCTGTCTCAGTCTTCTCATCTGTAAAATGGGAATCCCAGTACTTTATTCAAAGAACTTCTGTGAGAGTTAGAAGACACAAAATGCTTATAAGGTGATTTAAACTGTGTCCTGCACTTAAGCATTCAAAAGGTCAGTTATTACTATTACATTAATGACAGATGGAAGATGGAGCACTTTAAATGCAATAATACTTAAAATTGGATATAAAAAGATCTTGGGAATAAGAACCACAATCGGTTGGGATTTGTGCTTATCAGAACTAGATGGAAGATGGAGCACTTTAAATGCAATAATACTTAAAACTGGATATAAAAAGATCTTGGGAATAAGAACCACAATCGGTTGGGATTTGTGCTTATCAGAACACAGGAGTAGGGGACAACAGAAACAATGCCAACAAGAAAAATAGTGGGGACAAGGAAGAGTGGAGGGAATATCATTCAGAAGCCTGAAACCTTGCTATGGTTTTAACATAAAATTCCTTTCATCTCTTCATATGCAAGTAAAAAATCAAAAACAAAAACTCTCAAACTTGTAAACATAACCAGACTAATGCTGATGGAATTAAGAAAGTGAGATTTCCTTTCATTTTCCTCAACTTCTACTGGCATTATCCTAAAGTCTCCAAAAACCCTGTTCTTTCCCCTTTATGCCCTTTTTGTTTGTTTCTTTTTCTGGCAGCTGGCTGGTATTGAGATCTGAACCCTTGACCTTGTTGGTATCAGTACCATGATCTAACCAAGTGAGCTAACCGGCCAGAGCCTTCCTTTCTGCCCACTTTTTAAGAAAACTGTATACTCTTCACAGTTTATCCTATCATTAACGAACTAAAGCTGGTTACCTAAAAAAGATTCAGGAATAACTCTTAATGGTCCTACAGAATGTAAGCAACCATATCATTTGATTCCCACATTAAGAAATCTCAGTTTCTTAGCTAATTGGTCCTATTTGGCATATCCATCTTACTTGTGAGTGGGAGGCACAGAAAACAGCTAACTCAGTAATTTACCTTTTGTATGATCCTGAGGACTTTTTCCAGGATTGAATATAATAAACTTAGTATGGCTCATTTTAGGAGTTTAATAAATATTTGCCAAATGAACACCAAACTCTCAAGAATGAAAATTTAGCACTGCTAATTTTCTAAAAACAAACAAACAAAAAAAGAAAATAAAACCCAAAACCCACATTTTTGGATTAAAAATAATTATTTCTTGCATTTTAATTTAAGAAACAAATTGGTTTAAAATCTGTTAAAGTAAATCCAATTCCTCAATCTAATATGTAGTATTCCTCATTTAAGTTTTTCGTAAACATTTCCTCTCAAAACTTTTTCTCTGTTTACTTTTCTTTACCTATACTAATTATCTCCATTAAATCTTAATCTATCTGGCTGGATGATTTTAATCCCTTGAAGCTATTTGGAGTTGTAAAGGCAAAAGTATAAAACTTGTACAATAAGTATGAAGAAGTATAAAAATGAACAAACAATTTAAAATATCTTTCTACAAGATCACTTACATTTTTCATTTGCACACAGAAATGCTGTTTTCTACCCCAGGATTTCTGGGTAGCTCCTTTTGGAGTGTTTACTATTAAGTTTGAAAGCTGTTGCTCATCACTAACATCTAGAATGATGATCAACTCCTTCAGGATTGCTCCTAGTTTTGTTTCAAAGTGTAGTCCACATACTGCATTTTACCAGTCCACAATAAGAAAAGTACAGAAACTGAGAATAAGCATTTGGAAACTCTTAGAGCAATTTGACACTGCCACAACACTCAAGTACACCATCAGGGGATGTGCAAAATAAGACACTCATACTTATCAGTGTGGTGAATCACATGACACAAGCACAATACTAGTCAAACATAATAGGACAAAGTGAGATTTCCTTTCATTTTCCTCAACTTCTACTGGCATTATCCTAAAGTCTCCAAAAACCCTGTTCTTTCCCCTTTATGCCCTTTTTGTTTGTTTCTTTTTCTGGCAGCTGGCTGGTATTGAGATCTGAACCCTTGACCTTGTTGGTATCAGTACCATGATCTAACCAAGTGAGCTAACCGGCCAGAGCCTTCCTTTATGCCCACTTTTTAAGAAAACTGTATACTCTTCACAGTTTATCCTATCATTAACGAACTAAAGCTGGTTACCTAAAAAAGATTCAGGAATAACTCTTAATGGTCCTACAGAATGTAAGCAACCATATCATTTGATTCCCACATTAAGAAATCTCAGTTTCTTAGCTAATTGGTCCTATTTGGCTTATCCATCTTACTTGTGAGTGGGAGGCACAGAAAACAGCTAACTCAGTAATTTACCTTTTGTATGATCCTGAGGACTTTTTCCAGGATTGAATATAATAAACTTAGTATGGCTCATTTTAGGAGTTTAATAAATATTTGCCAAATGAACACCAAACTCTCAAGAATGAAAATTTAGCACTGCTAATTTTCTAAAAACAAACAAACAAAAAAAGAAAATAAAACCCAAAACCCACATTTTTGGATTAAAAATAATTATTTCTTGCATTTTAATTTAAGAAACAAATTGGTTTAAAATCTGTTAAAGTAAATCCAATTCCTCAATCTAATATGTAGTATTCCTCATTTAAGTTTTTCGTAAACATTTCCTCTCAAAACTTTTTCTCTGTTTACTTTTCTTTACCTATACTAATTATCTCCATTAAATCTTAATCTATCTGGCTGGATGATTTTAATCCCTTGAAGCTATTTGGAGTTGTAAAGGCAAAAGTATAAAACTTGTACAATAAGTATGAAGAAGTATAAAAATGAACAAACAATTTAAAATATCTTTCTACAAGATCACTTACATTTTTCATTTGCACACAGAAATGCTGTTTTCTACCCCAGGATTTCTGGGTAGCTCCTTTTGGAGTGTTTACTATTAAGTTTGAAAGCTGTTGCTCATCACTAACATCTAGAATGATGATCAACTCCTTCAGGATTGCTCCTAGTTTTGTTTCAAAGTGTAGTCCACATACTGCATTTTACCAGTCCACAATAAGAAAAGTACAGAAACTGAGAATAAGCATTTGGAAACTCTTAGAGCAATTTGACACTGCCACAACACTCAAGTACACCATCAGGGGATGTGCAAAATAAGACACTCATACTTATCAGTGTGGTGAATCACATGACACAAGCACAATACTAGTCAAACATAATAGGACAAAGTGAGATTTCCTTTCATTTTCCTCAACTTCTACTGGCATTATCCTAAAGTCTCCAAAAACCCTGTTCTTTCCCCTTTATGCCCTTTTTGTTTGTTTCTTTTTCTGGCAGCTGGCTAAAACATGAACATTATCTATCTAGCAGGAATATCCCCCAGACTTCAGCTACTGGAATTACTGGACAAAGATTTTAAAACAATAATGCTAATCTGTTTTTTAAAAAGTTCATTAACTTGAAGAAACCTGTAGGGTATAAGAAGCTATTAAAAAAATAACACAGCAAGTATGAAAAATGAGCAAATATTACTTCTAGAAATGGGAAAAACACAAAACCAACAGCTAAAAACTAAATGGACATATCTAGCCACATACTGAATCCAAAAGAAACTATTCACATACTAGAGGATAGATCATAAGAAATCATCCATCAATGCATGAAGGAAAGAGAAAGATAGAAAATACAGAAAAGGGGCCGGCCCGGTGGCGCACTGGATAGTGTGCCGCTTGGGAAGCGCGGCGGCGCTCCNATCTCAGTTTCTTAGCTAATTGGTCCTATTTGGCATATCCATCTTACTTGTGAGTGGGAGGCACAGAAAACAGCTAACTCAGTAATTTACCTTTTGTATGATCCTGAGGACTTTTTCCAGGATTGAATATAATAAACTTAGTATGGCTCATTTTAGGAGTTTAATAAATATTTGCCAAATGAACACCAAACTCTCAAGAATGAAAATTTAGCACTGCTAATTTTCTAAAAACAAACAAACAAAAAAAGAAAATAAAACCCAAAACCCACATTTTTGGATTAAAAATAATTATTTCTTGCATTTTAATTTAAGAAACAAATTGGTTTAAAATCTGTTAAAGTAAATCCAATTCCTCAATCTAATATGTAGTATTCCTCATTTAAGTTTTTCGTAAACATTTCCTCTCAAAACTTTTTCT